AGAGGGGGGGGGGGGGTAAAAAATGGTTAAAAGCGTGTAAAATCTAAAATTACGCGGAGGACGATGAATTGTTAGTTCTAATTAAGAAAAGTTAAGAGGGAATATTTTTGGGTTTAACATAACAATGGTCTTTCAAAACTCATTTTACTAAACCAACTAACGAGGCCTCCGCATAGTCGATTCCCCCAATTCACAATATGAATAGGTCACGACGACCCCTGCGCACGTTAGTAGTACGCCCTTTGCTTCTCGCCCCTTCTCCTGCCGCTCCCTTTTATATCTATCTCATCCCCGCTAAAACTCCTTTCCGTTCGCCATTGCATTCTATCTACAGATCTCGCGCCTTCTCCTTCTCCCGCCCGGCTTTCCCCTTCTTTTTGCTCTATTTTTTCAAGGGTTCCATCCGATTCCAGGCGATTTTGATCGTTTTCAGGTATTTTTTTTCCGATCTCGATCTCATTTTGATTGTGCGATTCGTTGAATTTCAATCTTTTCTCTCTTTTTTTAATTTTAATTTTTTTGCGATGTTTTTCTGTTACGTTTGATGGTTTCGAGGTTTGTTGATTGGGATTCAGAGATCTGCCATTTCGATTTCGACTCTTGTCTTCTTTATCATTAGGTTTTGGTTAGGGTTTGATTGATTTGAATCTTTTTTTGGTTTCGGCTCTTGTACGATCGATCTCGTTGTTGTCTCGAAACCGTTTCTCGCGCAATCAAGTTCGATCATTTGGATTTTAGTAGATTGGAGATTTCATGTACAGCTTTTGCTTCTTTCTTTTTTTTGGTTTGATAAAACGTGCCAAGTCTATTTTTTTTAGTGTCGGAGTGAGAAACTCATATTTCAACGTGCAACCAGGAAATTTTGATCCGAAAAATCGGTAACTATCGATGAGATGATCTTGATTCTTGAAGTGCAAAATAACCTCTTTTTGAGTTTGACGTATTTAAATTAAAGGAATCCTGAACTACCCTACGTCGATGTGTTGAGAATTTGCAGAAGAAGCTGTATTTTATTTCTACAAAGTATCATGTCATTACTCTGGTTGTGATTTTGCCATTCTTATAAATTCATTTTGTTTTATTGTATTTTGCATTTTCGAATGTGAATCTTATTAATCACTCATGCCTGGTCTACACACATGGGATGCCATCTTGAAAGATGTTAAAAAATAAACATTCAGAAAGTTTATATCTTTAATCTTGTTGTGTAGCATAGATGGAACATTCAATGGAAGACTATGATGAGTATGATGAATATGAAGATGATGATCAAATGTATGAAGAAGAAGAGGAGGAGGAATATGAAGAGGTGAGGGACCCTAAACCTACCAAGGAAGAAATAAAATATCTTGAACTAAGGCAACGACTGAAAGAAAGAATTAGAAAGCAGGCAAAAAAAGACGGTGGTTCTCACTTGAAATCTAACGACAAGAAGAAGCTTCCTTATGACAAGTGAGTTTCAGCCTGAAGCTCTTCATGATGGGTTTTGGCCATAACATATTTGTAGATTTATTTTCCTATGTTTTCCCTTTGGTTGCTTACAGTGTTCAAGTATTTTAGAGTAAAAATGTTTGTCATAGTACTTTAAGGGCCATAGAGAATTAAGCAGATGTTATAATTTACATTTGGACGGAGGTGCATCTATGAAATGTGGGTATATCATGTTTATTTAAATGATATAAATTGAAGAATATTAATTTTTGGATCTTAGATTATTGGGAAGTCTTTGAAAACATCCATTGCAAGGTTTTCTAGTGCTTTCTTTTCTCCTTTTATTTCTGATTAAGGAGATTGTTCTTCTTCATTATGAAACCAACATGAATATTACTTCCAACTATACACCCAAAATGAATATACTTCCAACTATAGGCCTTATAATGCCCCCAATCGGGTGTTAATGCTTGAAACTTTTATGTTAATTGCTGCAGTTTTGGGTCATTCTTTGGACCTTCTCAACCTGTCATTTCTCAAAGAGTAATTCAAGAAAGCAAGTCATTATTAGAAAACCAGCACTTGGCATCTAGGGTTTCTGACCACGATCATGGTGTAAGTATCGAAACCTCCATATTGTTTCTAGTTTTGTGTATTTATGTCATTTTATGTATAAATGACTGATAGGAGAAGGAAGGCTGTATTGTTTTGGCAAAACAATTTTTTATAAACATAAAAATTAAAAAATTGTTTGTCAACTGACCGTTTTTGATTCTTTTATTGCTTGGCTACCTTGAACATGCAAATTATGTATTGTTTTGCGTCTTAATTTCATTGTATACCCACATGGTTACATGTCTAAATTATTTTTCCAAAGAACTTGATTCAATTTTCTGTTATTTCTAAGATGGCTGGGTGAAAATTATTTGAGAATTTGTATATTTGGTGTTATTCTACTTGATGTTTCATGTAGACTGAAGTACTCAAACCAATTGGCAGAACCAAACGCGAGAAAAGGGAATTTGCACAATTTCATGAATGTCCAATTTTATCTTTTGAGAGCATTTGTTAATGGCCTTCGAAGAATATTAAACCTGATGATTATGCATGTGTTGGCAGAATAAGAAGAGCCATGGATCCAACAGTGCAGCTTCCAAACCTAAGGCTCCACCGAAAATCATAAACGAGGTACTTCTAGCTGGCATTTCTTTGTTAATTATACTCTCTCTTCCACATTGTCAGATTTGATGGATGTAATGAGTTATTATGCAGAAGCAAACAAAAGTTCAAAAACTAAAGGATACCAGAGACTACTCCTTTCTATTTTCCGAGGATGCACATGTTCCTGCTTCGACAAAAGAGCCTTCAACAAGTGTTTTTGCCCCAAGTACTGGTACGTTGCTGTTGGATCGTGTCAATTGTAGTTGTCAGGTTTGAGTTAGAAACTTCTTTTAAAAAATTTAAAATCTACATGGAATGAGTAAACTAACTTATTATTGTTTCTTTGTTCCTGTTTTAGAGGCACGTTCAGCTCATATTCCCATGAAAAGTAAGCAGCCTCTGAGTAATCCTCGTCAGAATATTCACGTCGGGCATAAAGATCAGAAATCTGTTCCTATGAATGGGCAAATGCATCCCAATAACAAGTCTTCATCTTCTTGTAAACCCAATTTGTCTATGATGAAGGCTAAGAAACAATTGGGTAATAGCAACCATGGGAATGATCCTGGACGGCCAGTGGGTAATAGCAACCATGGGAATGGTCCTGGCCGGCCAGTGGGTAATAGCAACCATGGGAATGGTCCTGGCCGGCCAGTGGGTAATAGCAACCATGGGAATGGTCCTGGCCGGCCAGTGGGTAATAGCAACCATGGGAATGGTCCTTGCCGGCCAGTGGGTAATAGCAACAATGGGAATGGTCCTGGCCGGCCAATGGGTAATAGCAACAACGGGAATGGTTCTGGCCGTCCGATGGGTAATACCAACAACAGGAATGGTCCTGGCCGGCCACAGGGTTATAGCAACCATGGGAATGGTATTGGCCGGCCACAGGGTAATAGCAACAATGGGAGTGGTCCTGGACGGCCAATGGTGGCTCCAAAAGCTTCATCTTCTCACATGCAGAAGAAACCTTCTCTACCAGGTATGAAGAATTCTGTACCTGGCGTGCACAAGCCATTGCCGTCAAAGAAGCTTGAAGATAAGAGGAATGAAATGCGATTACCGGCTAAGGCCAAAGTAGCACCAAACCGGCCAGCACCATCAAGACCTCAGGTTATATGTCCTCATGCTAAACTCACTTCCAATTTGTGTAGAAAAAATTTCCTTCGCTTGTGCTGGATGTACAACTCTTAACCATCTGTGTGATGAAACTAACAGATAAGCAAGCCACCACCTCAAAGACAAGCTTTATCACGTCCGACCATGAATGATCAGCGACCCAAGAAAAGGCCTGCTAGACGATACTCTGATGATGAGGGCGATGAAGCTATTAGTCTAATCAGAAAAATGTTTCGGTAAGTATATTTCACTGATCTCATTCATATTGTAGTCAGTTTCAGAGGAGAGAAGGCCCCATGACACCAGACTAATTGTTGAATAGTTTCAAACCTCTATTGATTTCTATTAATTTTTATCATGTAAATGCGATAGTTTCTTGACTCTTGCAGATACAGTAATTGTTTATAAGGATGCACAATTTTCATTTTGAATATTCTGATATCGTCTCATTCCAACACTATTTCTGACTTCTCTGCAGATATAATCCTGCAAAATTTTCGCAAGATGATGATGATAGCGATATGGAGGCCAATTTTGACGATATAATGATGGAGGAGAAAAGAAGGTAAAGATGTGATTTATTTGCTTACAAGCGAGGGTTTTCTCCTTCATTCTATATTTACATATTTACTTGCCATACAGTGCAAAAATAGCAAGGAAGGAGGATGAAGAGCAACTTCGTCTGATCCAGGAAGAAGAAGAACGGGAGAGGCGTGCGAGAATAAAAAGGCTTAAAAAATCGAGAGGCAGCAGTTAGTGTTTTTTTTTTTTTGGGAAAGGTTTATATGGGTAGATTTAACATCATTTGTTACTTTGATGAAATCATCAAAGAAGTCCCCCTTCGCTCCAAATCACAGTTTGTTGTATTTTCGATTTCTTTAGTGCAAGAAGCTGCAGCTTAATTATGGGGATTTCCTTTTGTAGATTGCAAAAATTAGTGTTCTTAACTTCGCTGACAACATTGTTGAAGGCCCCCTGTATTTACCGAAGGCTCTATGGCGATTCAATCACATTCAATTTCAAGAATCCTAGCGACTGCGTCATGATATTTTATTTAATTTTTCCCTTGGAAGAAAAACTCTTGATTCAATTTGTTTGTAGACAGTTTAACGTGTGTAATTAATTGTTCTTGAATGCACGACGAGTGTAATGTGATTGAACCAGGTGCCACTTGACAGAAGGTATGCATAAACAATACTCAGAATGATAGAAACCAAAGTACCGATGTTAAAAATTGTTGCAATTGTGAGTGGTTGGTTTTACTGAAGACTGTTCCATGGCATGCCCTACAAATAATTGAACTTCATTAAGGTTGACGGCTTGCTGCATCATTTGATGATCTCTTTCTAAATTTAGTATACCAAACTGATCAATGATTTAGATTCTATTCCAAAATGGTCATCGGCCAGCCAACAAGATGATCTGGGTTGTTGTCACGTAGTACTGTTTCCAACGATCACTAACCATTCATGGATCTTATCATTGAAGGATGTAACTGGAGACAAATGTCAAAAGATTATAGCCTAAAATCTTCACCATGAATGCAGAGCAAAGGTTTTGGAGAACGAAAATATGTAAATGGAAAGAGGCTCTTCCTTCTAATACGCAATGAAACAGATTTCAATTTCGTTTGCGGTCCATTTCCAAATCAAACCAACGGTCTCCATCAATCCAGTTCTTCTCCAGCTCCGAATCCATTTTAATGGCCTTTCTTTGCATTTCCGTTTCTCTCTCTCTCTTTCTCTTTCTCTCTCATTACTTTACGTTGCTAGTATCATACGCCATTCAACCACCGCAAACATGGTCAATATTTTTTCCCTTTCTTCACCATACCCATCTTCTCTCTCTCCGTCTGACTCCATTTCCTTTCCCACTTCGATCACTGCTCTTGACGTTTCTCCAGGTTTTCTGTTTTGTTTTGTCTTATGGCATTGTTTTCCGGTAATGCATCGTTTGTGATTCTTGATTGTCTTTTCCAGGATGGGAGGAGTTCCCTTGATCTTCGAATGTGGTCTCGATGCCATTTGAGGGGTGTTACGTGAGTCTGGAAGGAAATGGGAGGAAATGTCTATTTCAGAATGCGATGCAAGATGTTAAATGTTTTATACATTGCGGTCCAGTTGTTTGGGTAGTCCTGGACCGGATGAACTCCATCTGATTGTTTCTCGAGTGTTGTGGAAATCAATGTCTGCTAAAAATGCCCAGCATCAGAGCACCCGGAGCGAAGAAATCCACTACTCTAACGGTTCGTCATTTGCCTTTGCCAACAGCCACGTCCTACTGCGTTGTTTGCTTCATGTCATTCTTGTCGCATTCTGTTCCTCAGGTTGCAGTGAAATGCCGTCCTCTAAGACACAAAGAGCGTGGCCGTGATATTGTCCAAGTTATTGAAAGCAAGGTTACCTCAACTAATGGCGGTTTGAAAATTTTCTTTTATTGGCATTTTTGTGAACCAAATTATTGCTGAAATTTGGCATGCTGCAAATTATAGGAGGTGCTTATACTGGATCCTGACCTGTCCAAGGATTACCTCGACCGCATTCGGAATCGAACGAAGGAAAAGAAATATTGTTTCGACCATGCATTCGGTCCAGATAGTACTAATCTGGTGCGTATAACTTATCTCCAATTTCGTTTTTGTGTGCGTGTCCGATTACATGTCGAGTTATTGAGATAGCGCATTGCCGGAACTTGAAAATTGGATTGATGGCTGTGAGGTGATTACCAAATTGAATTAAATTGGACAATTTCTCCATAGTGCTCAAAATATGCCATAATCGTTCATCATTCTGGGCACTTTGGTATGTTGGTTAAACTAAATCTGGCCAGCCAAATCGTTTATTTTTACTTCCTCTAAATTCTTTCCGTTCCCAGAGTTTCCATATGATCTACATTTTATGAACAGAAAAATGTGAAAGATTCCATTATCAGCGAGTGTATTATATTGAAGGCAAGGTGTCTTGTTGTAAGGTTTTTTTTTACTAGTTTAAAATGTTTATGCAGGTATTTCTTTGTTTCTGACAACCCTCATTATTGACTTGCTACGGTATTATAATGTAGTATCACTTTGCTTCTCATCACCTTGCAAGAATGAACTTCAATTACCGATGGGCTGATGTTTTTAGCGTATTTCTAATTATTTTCTAATCCCCGTGTTTTCAGGAAGTCTACACAAAAAGTATTTCTTCCATAATTCCTGAAGTTGTTCAAGGTCTGAACGTGACTGTTTTTGCCTATGGTTCAACTGGAAGGTATTAAAGAGGTGTTATCTTGCTCTTAAGTTATCTCCATCTTTGCTTTAGAGGAGTTACACCTTGCGTGCTGTTTAAACCATGCAACTAAATTCATGAGCGTTGGGCAATTTTTATTCTGTATAGTATAAATGGGAACCACACAATGTAGAACTGGAAAGCACTGAACTTTTCCTGTTGTTCTCTATACCCAAATCTACACTAATTATGCTCAAATTTCCTTTACAAATATTAGCGGTAAAACGTACACAATGGTTGGGACCAAAGATGATCCTGGACTCATGGTGCTCAGTTTGCATACTGTATTCGATCTTATAAAAATGGACAAGCGGGCCGATGAGTTTGAAGTTACTTGCTCATATCTTGAAGTCTATAATGAAGTATGCTCACCTTGCTTTTTCTTTGGCAATTGTACATGTGGATTACCTTTCGTTTTACAGAAACATTGATTTCATCTTAACTTTTTTCAGATAATCTACGATTTGCTTGAAAAATCATCTGGTCATTTAGAACTTAGAGAGGATCCTGAGGAAGGAATAACTGTTGCTGGGCTTAGGTGTATCAAGGTTTATTTTTTTTTTCTTGTATTATTAGATCCTTGAAATCAGTATGTGGTGGTACACAATGATTTTCTTTCATCAATGAAAAGTTGCATTTCTTTAAACACATCGTGTCAGAAAATTTGATAGCCTTTCAACTTGTTCATTGTGGTGGAAGTTGATGATGCAACCTTTATAGCTTCTTAAATCTTAATAATGATGGTTTGGTTTTTGAGCTTCTAACTTATAATCCAACTAGCGCAAGGTCTTTATGTAGATTGTTGCTTAAGTACATGGCGAAGCTTCTTTCCAAAGTGAGGAGGCCTTTAGAGGCCAAAATAGAAGAGGAGCCTTAATCTTCACTTTTTCTGCATTAGTTGGCTGTTACGTGCTACTAGTAGTTTATGATTTGGTGCTTCAATCCATATTCTCTCAAGTCTCTCTGAATTTTTTCTTTCAGTTAAATTATTGACTTCTCTTTACAGTAGGAACTGTTAAACAATTGTGAAGGTTTTAAATAAACTTCAATTACCTGGTCCCATTTTGGATCCCTGCATCACCCTTCTTTTCTGGGCCTACAGAAAGAGACCCTTCTAAATCTTCTTTAAACTGCATTTTGCCAAAAAGTTTCACTATTGTTTTTCCTTTCTATTTTATTTTTACTCCAGAAACAAATGCCCACAATTTTGGGTTTACTTCAGGTTCATTCTGCGGGTAAAATTCTTGAACTTTTGAACATGGGTAATAGTCGGAGGAAAACCGAGAGTACAGAGGTAAACGCTACCTCTTCAAGGTATGTTTTCCATAGTTGTCATAGGCGAAGGGTTCTGATTCTAGAATATCTCATTTTCTCTTTGGGTTTTGTATTTTTATGTTTGCTTATGGCTCAATTTCGTTCAACATGCATAACAGTACCTAGGCATTCGGGTTTTCAATCTTTCTTCTTTGAATATAAGTCTCTTTAACAATTCGTAACTAATCACTAGCTGCCAAGGGCTTTATTGGTTCATCCATTATGTTACTCAAAGTCTATGCGTTTATAGCAATTGGCATTACCATAGATCAGTTAAGTTTACTTATCACTCCTCTCAGTGAGTGTTTGACATTTTTTTATTGCCTCATGCAACATAAGCGTACTGCCCGACACAATTGAATAATAATCACATAAATAGATCACATGCAGTTTTGGAGATTAGTGTGAAAAGAAAGGGAAGAAACAAATATCCAAATCAGGTCTTGCATGGGAAACTTGCACTTGTAGATCTTGCTGGTAGTGAACGCGCTACTGAGACAAATAATGCTGGCCAAAAATTGCGAGATGGAGCTAACATTAATCGTTCACTTCTTGCTTTAGCAAACTGCATAAATGCGTTGGGAAAACAACAGAAAAAAGGTCTTGCTTATGTTCCTTACCGTAACAGGTATTTATTTCAGTGTCATTATGTTGTCGAACTTCTTATCTAAGAAAAACTAAAGCTTGAAATTTCATTTCTGGTCACTATAGCTGTTTTTCATAGTTTATTTATAATTTATTTTTGCAGTAAACTGACACGAATTTTGAAAGATGGTTTAAGTGGTAATTCTCAGACTGTGATGATTGCTACGATATCACCTGCAGATATTCAGTATCATCACACTGTGAATACATTGAAATATGCTGACCGAGCAAAGGAAATTAAGACACACGTACAGGTCAGATTTTCAGTGCTCATATGTCACATTCGAACTTGTATTCTTGGGTGTGGGGGGAGGTTAAGTTTATTTGTGAACAAAACTTATATTCTTTCACAATCTATATTAGTGCTCTTTCTTTTCTCTTTCATGCAGCATGACAGTTTACTCTTTCATCTTTTCAATTCCAACCATATGATTTTCTTTTTTCATGATGTGATTTGCAAGGTCATGTTTTTAAATATCCGTTGCATGACTTTAATGTGATCTCAAAATCTTCTGTTTTCCAGAGAAACGTTGGAGTAGTAGACACCCATGTATCAGACTACCAACGGATGATTGATAGTCTTCAGGTTGTATGTTAATTAAATTAATTTTTTAAAGATTGTTGACCCATGCATTGATCTTTAATTAATTGATTTCTTCAGACTGAGGTTTGTCAACTGAAAAAGAAACTTGCTGAAAAGGAGTCCGAACTCAGTAGTAAACCTGCTGAAAAGGCTGCAGATGATGAGCTGTCTTGGTTGAATATCATAAGTCATGAAATAAGTGAGAACGTTCAGGAAAGAATAAACTTACAGAAAGCTATGTCTGAGCTTGAGGAAACCAACCTTAATAATCGCTCAGAACTCCAACGACTTGATGACATTATTTCAAGACATCAGGTCCATCTTTATTTTTCGACTTATTCTTCTGTTTTCTCTATTGATTTTGAATAGTAGGATAGAAAAAGCATGATTTAGTGTTTTGTGACTGTCGCTCATTTCACTCTCACAGGCTGTTGAATTGGATGGAGCAATCGTAAAGGATTTGATTGCCCGACGTCTAGTAATTTTAGATAACATTCGTGAAAATGATGAAGCAGGAATCAATTATCAGAAGGTAAGGCCTATGCTTAAGTCTCCTTTAATGTCCATATGAACTCCATATTACTCGTAATACAAATTCTACTCCTTTAGGAAATTGAAGCCAATGAAAAGCAGCGGGGTCAACTTCAAGGCATGATTGATGAAGCCGTTAGTAGAAATGGGAATAAAACCTACTTGCGGATACTTAGTCAGTATAGACTGCTGGTTAGTTTATTCTGGATTGATCTTAGTTTAGAAGAATTGATTTGCTCGACCATATATAATACAAATGATCTTATGACTTGGCACTGCTACAGTTGAATGCAGTCACTTATATAAATCTTGGGGGCGGGGAGGGGGAAGAAATTGAACAGTTCTGGTAATATCTGTGAAGAAAAGAAGAAATCTGATGAACTTTATAATATAGATGGTTTATGTTTTTACGGTTCTGTGATTTTCTACAGAACCTAACGTTTTGAGAAATCCTTTAGGGAATGGCTAACTCTGAGCTTCAGTTAGAGGTGGCAATGAGAGATCAAGTCATTCGCCATCAACGAGAAGGTCTGAAAAACTTGTGGAACCTGCTTATGGGACAGGGACTTGACGAGAAACAGATATCGCACCTTGCAGTCAAGCAGGGTCTGAGAATTGAAGGCTGGACAATGACTCCTCTGGCGCTTGTTGAAAAGCAGTCGTCTAGTCTCACTTCTAGTAGACCTACATCTGTTGGCCCATCTTCTGGAATAGAGTACTTGTATGCTGGATATTCACGTTTCTCTTAGCATGGTGTTTGTCAAGATCATCATTTATATCGCATTTATCATGTTTCTCTTTTGCAGGGAGGGAACCAAAACTTGTGACTTCACCATCAGCATATTCAAGGGATAGGAGTGTTGATGGGAAGTCAAACATGTGTTTTGGTTCCCCTGAGAAGCGAGATCCTTACCAGTCGTTTTTGGATATGTCAAGTCATGCTTCTCATGGTAGGAGCTGCATATCAACATCATCTGCTGTTAGCGATTTAGCGAGCGGCAGAAGGTAAGTTTGAGTCCTGTTATATAGGCAATTATCATACTAATATTTCAAAACTCATCTTAAATAGATAGCTTGTTTTGGATCGTTCTTCTCAAGAGATCAGTTTGAATTAGTCTTCTTACCCATTGAAAGCCTATCTGACGAGCTTACCGCAAGTTCTTTTCTTCGGGTGGCTCCAGACTTGTGTACAAGCACATTCATTCTGAGATGCACATTATCTTCGAACAATGCAATTAGTTCTCTAACAGGATTATTGAGGTCACATCTTTTACTAAGAAATTATAGTGGAGGAGGGGATATAGCAACATCTATTACTAGAAATTTACCAAGCAACACAAGAAAAGGATACACAAGCCCATTCACATGGCTTTAACATAGACTGTGCTAATGAAAACAAGCACTTGGATCTCGCATGCTTTGCCCATTTTCTGCTAGTGGGTAAGGGCCCTTTGGTTTTGATCTATTGACCCTGATCATAGAGGCTAGACCTCTGTTTTCTCGGACCAAGATTTCCGATGGCATTACACTTATTTTTTTATGAAGTCACTTGTTATTGGCTCTTTAGATTCTTTTTCCTCTTCCATTAGTCAATAGGGGGAGAATGGTTTGGGGCAACATAGCTAACAACCAGATGTAACACTGGTGCTAGTTTGCCTGTATATGTATACCATTTTGATGCAAATACTATTTGTGGATGGCGAGACATTTTATGAATCGTAAAGTAAGTTGTTAAATTTTATTTTGTCAGCTCAAGGGGGCATCAAAGGTTGTGAGCCTCAATCTTATTAACGATATAAGCATCATGGTCTTACTAAGGGCATGGAAAAAGAGTTGATGAAGCTCCATAGGGACTAAATCAGGGATGAGCTCTATACAACATCAGCTTATGAAGGGTGAGAGCTTTATAGACTCGAAAAGGGAACTATGAGCTTAGTTGAAAGAAACTAATGCTGTGAGAGGGCGAATCAAAATCCGAGGGATGAAATTCATAAGCTTAATGGAACCCATTTTCCAGTTCAGTATTTTAGAAATTTGATGGCTAAATTTAAAATATTTTATTTTGACATTTTATAAAGGTTTCAAGCCTGTAATTGATGTAAAGTATTGTAACATCACATTATTTCGTGTTAATTTATCGTTCAAAATTTTAAATAAAAAATTCATATTTTAACGACAATAATTTTGAAACATTTATAAAATGTTACCAATATTATTTGTAACTTTTAAAATAATAAGATATACTTATAAGGAAGTAAAATTCTGGAGTATTTAAGTAATTAATTAATATAATTTAGCAAATTTGATTTACAGAATATCTCCCGTTTTATTATATCCCCGCCAAAATTAAGCGTGGAGCTGTGAAAGAAGATCGTTCATCGCGTTAGGGCGGTCTGAAAATAGTAGAGATCTGTACTTCTATCATTGGAGCCGGAGGCCTTGATTCTACGCCTCCATCTCCGGCTTTCTCCCGTTGGGTTCTTCAATTTCAAAAGCCACATATTAGAATCATTGGAATCTCCTTTTCCAGCGATAGATTGAAGGGATGTCCTCGGAGCCATCTCAATCAGATTCCTATAAACCTTACACTCTGTCCCAAACCCTAACTGGCCACAAGCGGGCGATTTCATCCGTCAAATTCTCAGCGGATGGCCGTCTTCTTGGCTCCTCCTCCGCCGATAAGACCCTTCGCACTTATTCCTGCTCAAATTCTACTCTGACCCCACTTCATGAATTCCAAGGCCATGAACAGGGTGTCTCCGACTTGGCTTTCTCCTCCGATTCTCGTTTTCTTGTGTCCGCCTCCGACGACAAGACTCTTCGCCTTTGGGATGTCTCTACTGGATCCCTTATCAAGACGCTCAATGGCCATACTAACTATGTGTTCTGTGTCAACTTCAATCCCCAATCCAACATGATTGTGTCTGGCTCCTTCGATGAGACCGTCCGCATTTGGGATGTCAAATCTGGCAAGTGTCTTAAAGTCCTTCCGGCCCACTCTGATCCTGTCACTGGCGTGGATTTCAATCGTGATGGCTCGCTGATTGTTTCGAGTAGCTATGATGGGCTGTGCCGAATTTGGGATGCCTCTACCGGGCATTGTGTGAAAACTTTGATTGATGATGAAAACCCACCTGTTTCTTTCGTCAAGTTCTCCCCCAATGGAAAATTTATTCTTGTTGGGACTTTAGATAATACTTTGGTGAGTATCTTCTTACATCTTTTTCTTCATGATTTAGGCTTATGTATTGTGCTACTTATCGCATATTTTGTGCTTTGTCGATGAGTGGTTGCCGGTTGGTTATTGGGTGTTTTTGGTTCATATGCTCAGATTTCGTATTGAGAGGTGTGGAAATTATTCATCATGAATGGCTTTCGATTGAAATTTTTTATTGTTAATTACCTATGCTAAAAATATCACGTATGGAACATTTCATCTAGGTTGAAGGTCTCAGAGTATTTTAAAAAGAATATTCACCGAACATTTACTTCGAAGATGTTGTGGGTGAACCTTCTATATGAATTTTGCTCTATGACTTAGGTTGAAGGTACTTACGGGCCGCTTATGCGTTTCTATTGCTTGACTTTGCTTGATCTATCTGTATACAGTTTGGCGATTTTTTCAGAAGTTTTTAGTGATTGTTAATGTCTAAGGATAAGTGGAAACTCGGAATATCTATATCAGTATTACATAGATTTAAATATAATCTTGCATCCTGTGGGTGGGGGTTAGAAAAACAATTAGCGGGACTATAATGGTAATATGAAACTGATTTACAATTATGTGGCTTCTTTTGAGGTCACTTTTAAGTTTTGAACTCTTGATGAAGATAGTTATCATCTTGTCAGAAGTCAAATTTTGAAAATCTTGTAAATACAGAACAGTTCGTTTCTTTTGGTTTGAATTTATTGTTGTTACTTTTTATTTTAACTCTGAATGCCGGGATCATGCATCTTATATGTTGATACATAGACGACTAAGCAAGGTTTATGAATGTAAATCCAATTTGATAATTAGAAAAGCTTCTCTTTTGGGCTATAGGATAGCAGGCAAGCCAAACTGCTCTGATCTTTACACTCAACTATTTCTATTTTTCTATCATTTCGTTAGTATTGATTATTTACATACTACATTTTTTTCTCTTTTAAATCACAGAGATTGTGGAACTTCTCTACTGGAAAATTTCTGAAAACTTATACAGGCCATGCTAACTCGAAATTCTGCATCGCCTCCACCTTTTCTGTGACAAATGGAAAGTATATCGTGAGTGGTTCAGAAGACAATTGTGTGTACCTATGGGAACTGCAGACCAGGGAAATAGTTCAAAAACTAGAAGGTCACTCTGACACAGTTATATCAGTATCTTGTCACCCCAGCGAGAACCTGATTGCTTCTGGAGCACTGGGCAATGATAAAACTGTGAAGATCTGGACCCAGAAGAAAGACTAGTTCATTTGTCATCAAGGCAATCCATGATCAAGGTTTTGAACATATAACTCTGTGGTGGTGGCACAATTCTTGTAGCTTAGTTTTATTAAGTAGAAACTGTTAAAAACATAACCTTTTTAAAGTTAAGCATGTAAGTTTTGTTTTTATTCTCCGCGTCTCTGTTGTTGTCACCCTAACGATTGCTATCACAGATTCGGTGGTGTTTATGAATGTAGGGTAGTTGGTTTGCTGCATCTAAGAATTAAGGATGGTAGGTTCTTTTCGTTTATTTTAATTTCCCCAGAATGTTGTTGGAATAACAGAGTTTAGGTTGTAAGAACGAATGACAGAAACTGAGAAATAGGAGGCAAGACTCTATAATATAACATCATAACAAGACTTCAACTCAATCAATAGTGTATTGACTAGTCTGTTTCTGCGTTGCTGGCAGTAGGAACATCAGACTATTGGAAGGTGTATGTGGTAGAAACTAGAGTAGAGTTGAATTTTAAATCCTTTGAAGTCACAATATAGAGGTTGAAAGTGTTTTCGTTTTTGAGGCAAGGAAGTGAAACGAAGAAGGAAGTAGCTGGTCGAGGATGTGATGTAGCTATCTCGTCTTTGGGTCGAGGGATATGAGCTGAGCTCTCTGAACCTCCCTCGTCTTCCATATTCCTTTTTTGGATCATTTTGTTTAGTATTGGTTGCATAGATCTCTTACCCCTACTCAGTTCTTGCTCATATTGATCAAATACCTGTTTCTGTTGCCAACGCGATTTCCTCCTTTAGTAGAGTCATTTTGAGTTTCACGAATCTTTTAGCAATAGAGCCATGGTCGTCTCTTTGGGGCCGTGTAAGGAATCTGCTTTATGTTTATGGCTACACCCAAAAAATTGCATTTTTATTATTATATTGAAATACCGAATAAAATTTTATTTGAAATGGATGGAAGATTAATAACTTAAAATATTCTCACCCAACACAAATTAAGAAAAAAACAAAAACATTTAAAAACGTTCGTCTACTTATCCTCCTAATATTTTAAAGGTCATGATGCCCAGCCGCATTTTCTTTCTCCAATCTTCCAATTCACACAATCAAATTTTAAATTAAATTAAATTAAATTTAGATCAAAAGATTATTTCTACATTATATATATGTTTTTTTTTTCCTTCAAAGATTCACACTCATTATTATTATTGTTAACAACAATTACAAAATGTCTTTCTAAGTTATTTGGGCAAGAAACAAAATAATATCCTAATTTACTCTATATTTTTTTTAATGAATAGTAAGTTATTCCTTGCTAGTGTAAAGGATACATTTTTTTATTTTTAGTTATTGAAAAGTTTACAATAAATTAACAATAAAGTTTAAGTTTAAAATATATTAAAAGTAAGAGCAAAATTATAGACCAAAATGATATTTTAAACCAAAATACAACTTTCATTGGAATGTAACTTAATGATTGAATTAAAAAAAAAAAAAAAAAAAAGATTCAAAATTTATAATATTGTAGTATTTTGAACAAAGATACTTCTCTCTCTTAATTTTCTATTATTACTATTATTTTGTTTAGTTGGGTTTGCCATCCAAAAGACAAATAGAAAATTGAAATTAATTAAAATTAATTAAAATTTTATGCACTACTAAATCGGACCCAAAACTAAGTTTCCCTTTCCAGCCAAGGTGGGTAGAACCAGATATTGTGAATGGTGATGGAAAGTTATGTACATATTCCAAACGCAACTCCAAGTATTTTTAAAGACTTAAAAAGTCCAAAACAGTTCTCACCCAGTTACCGTAGTTGAAGATTGAACAGAAAAATAGAAGCTTTGGGAGAAAGCAAAGCAAAGCAGCATCAAATCCTTGCAAACTCCAAGCCTTCAAGGTATGGGGAAGAAGAGGTCGCCAACTAGGGTTTAATTTATGTTTCCAAACTTACACCCTTCTTTTCTTTAGGGTTTGTTGTTTTTTCCTTTAATTTTGGAGTATTTCGTGAGTTTGAAGCATATAATTCAAACTTGTCCGATTATCTTGATTCTGAGGATATATAAGAATTCAGCCAACTGTTTCTTTGATGGAAATCTCATCGCCCAAATGGTTATCCGAACTAGTAAGCTAATTTTTATTTTGTTATACTTTGTTCTTCATCTTTGGAATTCATTTCGTGGTTGTGAATTAATATTTTGACTTTTAGGAAATGATGGACTGTGCATATCAATACGAGATCACCAATTATCCCCATGATTACACACTCGATGAGCTCAATTTTCCGACCAATTTTCCGGCGACCGAAAAACTCATTACTTCGGTCCAACTTGATTCTATTTCCTCTTCCCAGTTTATTTCCTTTGGGGATTCACCTGAAATTGAGAAGCTTGATTGTGCGATGGGTAAGGTCGAGAGAGGAAAAGATTTGTCGTTCATAATACCCCAAAGTTTGGGTGTGAATCAAAATAGGTATGTAATTGGATATGAAGAAGGCCATGACATTAAGAAGCGTGCAACAATTGGTAGAAATTCAGGAAATGGTCAACAACATGTTATAGCTGAGAGAAGACGAAGAGAGAAGCTAAGCCAAAGCTTTGCTGCTCTTTCAGCTCTAATCCCCGGCCTCAACAAGGTAAAAATTTGCTCATAATATCCAATTGCTATGAACAAAAAAGGGTTAATCTTAGATTTTGAATTCAATGTGGTAAGTTTATGTGAAATATGAAAGGGTTAATATTTTTGGTGACAGACGGACAAGGCTTCAGTGCTTGGGGGAGCTATCAAGTACGTGAAAGAGCTTCAAGAACGTGTCAAATGGGCTGAGGAAGAAGCAGGAGATGAGGAGGGGAGAGTAATTAAATCAGTTCCTAAGATAGAAACAAGGGTTTTGGAGAGGGATGTTCTTGTGAAAATTCATTGCAAGAAACAAAAAGGCTGTTTTTCAAACATATTAACCCAAATACAGAAGCTTAAGCTAACCATTGTGAATAGCTGCGTTTTACCATTTGGGCATTCCAGACTTGATATAACCATTATTGCTCAGGTCAAATTCCTTTCTCTCTATTATCACCAAACATAATGACCTTTCATTAATATTTGCTACCTTGTTGCAGATGGAGGTTGGTTTTTGCATGACAGCCACAGATCTTGGGAACAAGCTAACACAGGCTTTGGTCGACCTCATATAACCTTGTCTTATCGTTCTTGATTAGGTGGTTTGTTTCGACCAAGAGTTTAGACGTTAGAATTTTCTCGCTCTATATGTCTTCAACATATCTGTATATAAAAAATAAATTCCTAAGTGTATGAATATGAATATTAATAAAGCTTAATTATATGAACAAAATGATTCTGGGAAAGATTATATTGTTGGCATTTGGATTACCTTAATTAATATATGAACAACAATTATGTTTGGTGAGATTGAGTGACGTTATTTTTTTATTTAACTTAAATTTAAAATTCCTTACATTTATTTTTTGGAATTATATTTTTCTTCAATTTGCAAATGATCTTGTTTTTTTATAATCAAATAATTTTAAAATTGTATATGTTGTGTTGTGGTGACTAATTTTGGTCCATTAAATTGAGCTATTAATGAAAAATTTCCACCAAAAAAAAAAAAAAAAAAAAAACATTATCATAATAAAAAATAAAATAGTGTTTAAAATGAAAAGAACAAACAAAAAGCTTTCATATAACCATTGACTTTGAATCAGAGATATGGCCAAGCTCCAATTATTGGCAGTTTAACCTAATTTCAATATATACCTCATAGAGATGTCCCAACCAACTCTACAAAAAAAGAAATTAAATTATCTCAACTTCTTAATCATGTTTTTATATTTGGTAATTTAGAGTCATTTGAATATATGAATTTATATAAATTTTTGTGGCTCCGTGTGCTTGTCTTATTATGGTTTAGGATATACATATATATGAATTGGATTAATTAGCATCTCATTCCGGAATAGATTATCAAAATCTAGAGGCCGCAGCTGGTGGGAATGTATAAGGAAATGCATTATTATTTATAACATTTGTCACAGCTACCATATCAACTCAATCTTAGCTTAATTTTTATGGTAGATTTGTTTAATAGATTCTAATGGAATAAATATTATATCATTTGAGGACATTTTATTGGTTAGGGTACAACTTGTAATATCATGATAATGTTTGGAGTATATTTAATATACATATAATTAAAATTAGAATTAGTGTTGTGTTGGGTACTTAGTTGGAGTTGACCCTCGCAAAATTATGTTGGAATCAAATCCATTAAACATATGTTTAGAATCATAAAAGCATTTAATTAACTAAATAAACACTAGAATATCCATTTATGAGCTGGGAAGCTGTTACATGTATTAAATGACATGCTGTCGGGATTAAGAAAATGAGAAATATATATTTAATTAATTAAAAGTTCATTTCAATTTTAGGATGGTATTTTAGTGTTTTAAAGGAGGAATTGGGATTAAATTCAAATTTAAGTAATTTGGAGGGGTTTTCAGCAAACCTAATCTCGGATCTCACCACTCACAAAACTCCGCTGCTTGTCTTGTCTCTAATTGTACTTTACGCGTTTTAATCAGCTTTATTATTTATTTATTTTTTCTCTCTCTCTCTCTTTTTAAATTATAAATATATATTAGTATATAGTTAATGATGGGAGGGTGAGGTGGCGGGGAATCTTCCCTTAGCCCTTCCAAGGCTTTGACCGATCAAATCGTCACGTTTTAAATTATCATTTGGAAGACAAATTTTAATTATTTGTAGTCAAATGTTAATTGGTGTGTGTGTGTGTGTGTTTGTGTTTCCAGGATTGTCGGAAAAAGAAGTGTAATACCCAAGTTTTACGTAAATAAGAAAATAAAAACCTTTCTTTACTGTGTTAACTTATTGTTTCCAAAATACTTTAGGGTTCATATAAGGATTTTGCAGCGTAATTACGTCATATTAAGCTGTAATTGGGTATACATATGAGACAAAGTTGTAATTTTTTTAATTAGATAATTGGGTTGACAACCTATGTCCAAGATCTGGAATCTGGATTCAGCACTTAATGTCTTTGACATTCTCCTGCATCCCTTGCGATATAGTCACGTTACTTACTTCTCATTTTTATGAGTAAAAGTTATCTTCATAGAACAACATGAATCCTTCTCCTATGATTTGCCTTTCCTCACATACATGTTAGGAAAAATCTCAAGAGGTCATCCACACATGAAATTGATCCAAGAAAAATACGCTTAAC